TGCATATGTATATAACAACAGTTATGTTTCTGTTTTATCTTTTTTCTTTTTGTTGCTGTTGCTGTTCTCATTTTAGTGGAGAGTACTATACCAAGTAGAATAGTTCTACATGGGAGCAAATCAAAGTAAGTTTACTTTCCTTCAGTCAGCATTATTGAATACCAACATTTTCTGCTTGTAGTGAAAGGTAGTAACTTGAGTTTTCTGCCTCTGAATGCCTGTCTAAAACTTTCTAGAAGTTATAAAGGTGCAGGTTAGCTATCAAATGTTATTGTGCATAATTTTAACTTAGATCTTGTAAAAATTTGAATTCTTACACTCCATACTTGGAGAGTCTAATTCCATAGGATGAAGTCTGTAAGGACTTAGAATTTGCATTTTAGACAGGTAACTTACCTACATTTTTAGCTAGCCATTTATAGGTCATACAGTAAACACTGCATGTTTATTACATAATAGCTTTTTAGGCAGTACTTGTTTTTCACTCTAAATATGTAACAAACTTTGGGCATTAACTGTTTCGCATTCTACCTCCATAACCTGCTTTTAAACATTTTTATTGAATTAATGTTATGCAATTAGCTTTAATTAATGATTCAAGAATTGGCTATAGCAGCTTCTTCTTATTTGCAGGCAATACATTTCAAAACATACAGTGGATGTCTGAAACTGCAGATAATACCAAACCCTATATATATATTGTGTTTTTTCCTATACAAAAATACCTGTGATAAAGTTTAATTTACAATTTAGGCACAGTAAGAAATTATCAATATTAAGTTATAATGAGGTAGAAAAATTATAACAATGTACTGTAATAAAAGTTATGTGAATGTGGTCTTTCATTTATTCAAAATAATCTTATATTATGTAACATTTTTGGACTACATTTTTTAGAAAAAAGCAAATATTATGGTCACTTTGAAATTTTCACCAAAAACAAACAGTCCTCCAAAAAGCAAAACTAACTTTGCTTAATCCTGAGTAGAGTATTCGCTGGGAACCTCCATATCTGAACTGCCATGTTTTTGTGTAAACAGTCATGTCACACTGAAACATCTTGTGTTTTTCAGCCTGCCTTTCTTTGAACTTTGGTCAGTACAAGTACTTTAAAATGCTAAATATTTTCTAAATACCTAAATTCTTAGGATGAATTTAGGTATGCCTTAGTCCAATAATTCTTTTTTCTCTAAATAAAATAGAAACTTGCCTAATATGATGACACATAAGGCAAACAAATCCATAAAATGTAAATTATATATTATTGCAAAAAAGGTTTTTCATAAATACATGTGGCTGAAGTAACCACGCACTAGGCATATGCTTCCTATGTTTAGGCATAAGCACTCATATTTCTATGGGAGGTCATGCTTTTTGAAATGACAATTCAAGTGGGAGTATTTTGCCCCTAAAGTCTTCATTCAAAGTATTTCCCAGCGGTGTCACAAACAGACAAATGTACCTAATTATTAGATTGCACATCCTGATGTATGTTTATTTGACTATGCAAACAACCCACCAAATGTACAATTTTCTCCTCTTAAAAAACGTAGTGATTTAAATGCAAAAGATATGTTAATCAGCATTATCATTAAGATTTTTCATATGTCAAGTTAGGATGCTGGGAATCATCATTTTGCTGTCAGCAATAAAGCAGCTTACACTAGAAATCTATTATGGAAATATTTCAACAAACTCAATAAAATGGAACACAAGCATGGCGGCAAAAGACAAAATTACAACACATTTACTTTAAAGATCTTAATTGGCTTTAATTTGCCACTCTAGAATCGGGCAACACCTCATCCTAACAAAACAGAAAGAGTGTTTCAATGAGCTGAACAGAAGAGGTTGGCTTTAGAGAGAGAAAAGGGCTGAGAAAAGCAGAAAGAGAGGGACAAAAAGCTTTTTGGGTTTTCAAAGTTATTTCCCTTGCAAAGGTTAAAGTAGAAGGGACTTATCATAACAGCTAAAACTGGCCTGTTGAGGAATTTGGCTATTATCTCTCCTCTCATTTCCGGGAATGTTAGGTAAGCCATTTAGTTTTGGATTGGTTACGTGGAAGTTTACTCTGAGTGATTCTGTTTCTGTTTGGTCTGTTGGACCTAGTGCAGTTCAGCCCCAAACGGTGATCTCTTATACATTTTATTTTAGTTTAGTTTTTGGTTACTGACTTTAGCTCATTATAAATTTTATTTAACAGTGGTACTAGCTTTTATATAATCATTTAGTAGGTACAAACTTTCCAAGAAGAGTAAGAAGAGGTGAAGCCCAGGCTATAACATTGTAGAAAAGAATCTGTAAAACATTAAGAACAAAATTTGAAAATGAAGGGAATAAATAGAATGTGCTCTTCCAAATTACTGTACAAGTACTTTTTTGAAGTAGAAGTAGTCATTACAATATGAAAACTTGAAGTTGAGGAGTTTTAATCATACCAGGAGTGGTGGGGACTCAACCAGCAGAATGTACTCCCATAAGCACCTCCTGCAGTAATTGTTATTTTAATTGGTTGAAATAAACTAAAATGCCCTCAGGCCAGCAATGAAACTGTATAAGTAGGCAGCTTTATTCCCTTTAGGAAAGTGACCCACTAAGAAAGTTTATACTTTGAATTAAAAAGAGAAAAAGAGTATTGTTACTTATTTTATCAATGTTAAATTACCTGAAATCTGTTCTCCTATGTCCCTTTCATCACACTACCATATGTCAAATTTTTGGACAGAAAAGTTGTATTTTGTGTGGGAAGGGGCTGCTTTTTAACTAGTAATTTACCCTATATTGCTTCCAAACTTCTAACACTCTTTTCCCATGTCCAAAACCTCAAAACTGAAAGGCCTTGTGACTAGGTTATAAATTCAAATTAATAAATAGAATAGGCAGTTACAAATTTGTGGGAGCACAGGTCCTTTTAAAATTGCAATCATGGCCTGGTGTGGTGGCCCACACCTGTAACCCTAGAACTTTGGAAGGCCGGGGCAGGAGGATCACTTGAGGTCAAGAGTTCGAGACCAGCTTGGCCAACATGGTGAAACCTTGTCTCTATTAATAATAAAAAATCACCCTGGATTGGTGGTGCACGCCTATAATCCCAGCTACTCGAGAGGCTGTGGCAGGAGGATGGCTAGAACCCAGGAGCTAGAGGTTGCAGTGAGCCAAGATCGTGCCACTGCATTCCAGCCTACGTGACAGAGTGAGACTCCCTCTCAAAAAGAAAATGAAAAAAAAAAAAAAAAAAACTGCAATGATTTCATTCCTGATACATTCAACTGCATGCTTTCAGAAAAAACCCTGCAATTATTTCATTCCTGATATATTCAACTGTATACTTTCAAAGTATAAAGCCACACATTGACTGATGGTATGGGATTTCAGAGATGAAAATGCCATTCAGTTCAAGATTAAAAATAAGGCAATGAGATGCATGTACAATTTTATGAACTGGTAGAAACAATAGAAATGCTATTTAAGAAATCCAATTATTTTACTTGAGCACAGGCTGAGTTTCAGTTTGGGGAAGTAGAGAAGGAGGCCTGTTAGGAATAAAATGTGTTAGCTCAGGAAAGAGAGCATGAAAGCTTGAAGAAGGTGAAGCTGTGTTGGCACTCTGCAAAGAGTGAGTAAAAGATTTATCTGGAAGTAAATACATTAGCATAAATGACTAATTATATAACCAGGATTTTTAAAAAGATGAGGAATCAAAAACATAATGATAGTGGCATAAATCCTGGAAAATTTACAGAACAGCAAAATTGGAAAATAAAATAAATGAAGTGCAAGATAATTAGCTTACATTGAGGTGTGTTGAATCAATGACACATTTATATTTAATATTTAGAAATCTACACTATAGACATTTATGTGTGAGAATGAAAGTGGTGGGAATGAAATACACCCATATGTTTATAGTGAAAACATAGTGTACATCTATCATTTCAGAAAATTATCTATTATAAAATGTTATAATTATGCCAATGGATTAAATATTCACGTAATATGATAATACTGATAATATTTCTGTAACCCAAAGCACTATGGCTTGATACTGTGAGAGACACTGTGATTAACACAACCTAAGTTTCCCCATAGCTTCCAAGAAATCGAACAATGAACTATTCTTGGAACAAAAATTGAACTTTGAATGCCCTTCCTTAATTTATCCTGTAACATCTTTAAGCCACCTCCCATGTTGCAACTTTTTAATAAAGGCTTGAACTATTGACTTTGGTTAGTGTTTCTCCTTCCACAATCCTTGTAAATGGTTATTCATCCTGAGAATTCAGTGCCACCTTCAACTGAATCCAAGTCTCAATTCTTTTTTAGGTAGCATGTATCTGTAACTTCTTCTGGAGATTTGCAAATTTACTGAGAATCATCTCAGAAGAGGAAAAAAATTCAAAAACGAACAATAAAATCCAACCGAATTTTATATAGGGAATCTAAGAATCAGATACTTATAAAAAGCACTGCTAACCTGGTGTGGCTTTCCTAAAAGTCGGCAAATCACAAAGAAACGAAAAGGCTAACCTTCTGTCACAGCGAGTTTATCTCCCTTGTGGAGATGATAGGACAAGAGTAACAGAAACTTGTTTACTCAGACCATTTCCCTCAGACCTAAAATGCTTCTGTTTCTGTATTCATAAATAGAATGACACCTCTTTCGATAAAATCAGAATTTTTGTGTCCACAGAGACGCAGTGGCTAGAGGCACGCAGATTTGTCAAAATGGCTGTCAGCAGACTACATAGTTGAAAACAGCCTTCTTTAGAATAAACCGTAAGTCACCTGTGGAATTCCTAAAGAAGAGGCAATATAGAAACGACTACATTTTCTGCTGAATAAAATCATTCCAATTTAGAGAGACTTTACTGAGATCTTTCCCATATTGAAAGTTAATTTTATTTTTACATTTTAGAAATAAGAGAAAAATAAAACCCTTTTCCTATGCAGGAAATTTGTTAAAAAAAGATTCTTAAAGAAATGTGGGTTGATGAACATACCTCTGGTAGAGATCAACTTTTCTGATGATTGGAGCCAAGATGAGGATTTCCTGCAGACCAAGCTTTCTTAAAGTGCTTCAGGGTCCCTCTCTGCTATATTTCTAATCTAATGTATCTTCACCTCGAAGCCCTTAAAGGCAATGTTCTGAGGGCCTGTGAAGGGGGAAAAATAACATTTTAAAAAGACTGCTGAGTTACAACAATGTTACCTTGCCTTTGCTTCAGTTGTTATGCATTCTGGAATATAAAACAGAAACATCTTATTTACAGCAGTCAACTTGCCCAATATGGGGAAAGGGTGGAGAGGCTAAGACACATTCAGGTAGTATAAAAAGGAAAAAAAGTAAATAACAGAGGACTCTTGCTGTATATGAGGCCAGTTTAGTTTTGAGAATTGTCTTTACAAAGGATGTTGCTGCATTTTGTTTGAGAATAGGGCGGCAAAGGTGAGAGGAATTGGAGGGAGAATCCTAAGCAATGTTATTATTCAATACTTATACAAGGAGTGACCTCTACATGCAGTTGCCATGATGAATAAGGTAGTTACAGATTATGCCTTTCCAGAGTTTACACTGTAACTGGATAAAAATAAGCAAACATGCAATTATAGTGCAATGAGATAAATGTGACGGTAGGTGATGTACATGATTATTTGGGAGGTTACAAATTCCCTAAACTTGGGAGACAAGAAGATGGTCAGGGAAGTCTTCTCAGTAGGAAAGTCACTCAACCAGGGAGCTGAAGGAAGTACAGTATTTAACCAAGTTAGAACCTCAGAACTGCAGATCCAGAGAAGTGTGTACAAGAAAGGGGAAGATGAAGAGCATGAAGATGTAAGAAAGACTGAAAAGGTGAGGAGACAAATCTCACTTTGACTTCTATGCCTTGTTTAAGAGGAGTGACTTAAACTTGCAAATTACAATCACATTTTGAGCAAGAAGAGCAGTGCTACACAGGGTGTCAGGCTCACTGGGGACTTTAGGAAAGTCTTACTGAGTTATGTTAACCAACTTACTTTTAACTCATTAATAAAAGTTTTTCTAAAACTAATTTTAAAGAGTTTCAATTTAATGTCTTTTGGGACCTAAATCAAATGAATATATGTAACATATGTAATTAAAAAAAAAAAAAAAAAAAAAAAACGAAACCAGCTTTTATTTTTTAAAGACTGAACAAAGAAAAAAATTTTTCTTTGGATTTGGCTAAGCTGGGATGCTGATAAGATGGCTGTTTGCAAATGGACCAGTTTGTGTCCAGAGAGTGATATATATATAGGCTCTCATATAAATATGCATACACATATGTATGCCCATGTATTCTTTTCTCCTTCTTTCTTTTTCTCCTTCTCTCCTTCATTTGTTCTTTCTTTCTTTCTTTAAACTCTTCTACCTTTTGGAACTATGAAGACAAACCTAAATATGTTACAAGGTAAGTTATTTTTATCTAATGAACATAGGCAACAGCCAGCGGAACAAAATAATACATAGTATAGTTTAAATATTAAAGTCTATTTTATCTAAAGTGTGGAAACAAAGTCATTTGAGCATATCAACCCACTTACTGGATTGAAAAGTGTATTGGCATGATTCCCTATGTAAAATGAGTTTTTAAACGAAATTTCTTGACAAAGACGGAAGAGGGAAGAGAAGCCCACCTTTGGAACAATATAAGTGTGGTGCCAACTCTTCAGATTTTTGTTCTCTTTTTGAGCAGAGCAGTAGTCATCACATGGGCCTGCTTCTCTCTTTGATAGCTGCAGAGCCCCCATCCAATTCTCTTTTGCCTTAAACTCCAGACCAAAAAAGAACTGTAAAAGGTTAGCCACTGCAGGTGGTGGGTACAGTGGATAATGTGTTTTACTATCTGTAATTAGAATTGCTGAGCCTATAGGTAGGTTTTCCTCTCATAAATGAACTTCATGCAGTAGATTTAAACTACTATTCCATCAACTTGGATTAGATTGCGTTATATGCATTTCAATACCTACTTGGTGGGCTAAAAATATAATAATTATTAGTACTATTTGTTTTAGAGACAGGGTCTTATTCTCTCACCAGCGTTGGAGTGCCATGGCGTGAACATAGCTCACTGTAGCCTCCAACTCCTGGGCTCAAGTGATCCTTCTGCCTCATCCTCCTGAGTAGCTGGGACTATAGACATGTGTTGCCATGCCAGGCTATTTTTTTTTTCACATTTTGTAGTGATAGGGTCTCGCTATGTTGCCATGCTGGTTTCAAACTCCTCAAGTGATCCTCTCACCTTGGCTCCCCAAGGTGCTGGAATTACAGTTATGGGCCACCATATCTTGCCTAGAAACAGAATTATTGAATGAACTAAATCATAGTTCTGCTGAATAGAACTGAAAATAGTTCAGTTTAGGTTATCAGATTGGTAGCTAAACAGTTGTTGTAATTTCCTAGTATATGATAATACGAATGAGGGAAGGTGTTCTCTTTCCAGGGTCCACAAGGGGACGTAGTATTAAGGGCAAGAATTTCCCAGTGCCATGCCCCCCTCTCATCTCTCTCCATCTGGGAGGTTTAACGCTTTATGTTTGAATTTTGGGGGTGTGGGAAGAAACTAAGAGTCAATCACTCCAGCAGAAGTGCTAAGGAACTCCTTAAATTGGCCTGGGGTCTTAGAGAAGGTGGGGGTTCCTCCCAGGCTCAAAGTCCCCTTCTTCCACACCCCTTCGGACTCCATGTTTGGATCCCCTTCCACGAACACTCCCTTCATGGAAGCCGTCTTTCTCTCTCCTGGATTTCCCCTCTGGAGTCCCCTTCCACACACTCCCATGGAAGCCTGTCTTCCCCTCCCAAACTCCATGTCTCTCTATTCCCTTCCACTCAGTGTGGAAGCTGCTTTCCTCTCCTGGATTCCATCTTTCTGCATTCTCTCACTAAGTGTGAGTGTTAGCTGTTTCTCTCTCCTTCTCCTGTTTGTCTCTCTAAATAAATCACTTTCTACAAATACCATTGAGTGCTTTACTGCACCTTTACTGCACACAGCGCGGTAGTCCCCTCTTTCATTCTTGAGAGGGCAGGAGACCAAGAGCCTGGAGAAAATGTTCTCTCAGGGAAGCTAAGGGTGCCCTGAACCCCTGAATGTCAATATTACACATAGAAATTATGCTGTATCCCTCTATACTTATAAAACGTCATATTATGCTGAATTTAAGTGCTATCACTAATCATCCATGAATCTATAGTCATATTATAGCAGCCAACTAAAAAAACAACTGCTTCTCAGTCTAAAACCCCCAAAATAGTCCAACAATTACACATTTAAAATTAAAAAAAATTATTTTTATGATTTCAGCCATCAATGTAACAAACATGTACTATTATTCATATAGTATATTTTACTATGTCCCATTAACTTTTCAGAACAAGTGGTTTATTCTCCTCTAACTGAACCTTATTATAGGAGAAACGTGTTGTGTTGGCCCACCCAGAGCCATCTCTCCATCTTCTGTAAGCAACTGACCTCATCACATTTCCTTCATTTTGCTATAATTTTAGTAGGACACTTATTTGAGGTACTGACAAAGGGATGGCAAAGAACCCAAATTAGGTCAACCAAAATCTATCTCATGAATTTTAGTCCTAAGTAAAATGAAGTAAGGATAGAAAACTGTTGGCATTCATTTATTCTGCCATTGGGATCTTGATGCTTTTCTTCCTTTGTTTTAGATCCTGATATCTGAGGAGTTTTTCTATTTCTCTCTTTCTTGAAGTCTGGGTGTTCTACTTTTTCATCCATTCCATGAGCTGCCCCATATATTTTGTTGTATTTTTTAAATTTCAGTAGCTTTAGAGGAATAAGTGGTTTTTTGTTACATGGATGAATTGGACAGTGGTTAAAGTCTAATCTTTTGGTGTGCCCGTCACTCGAATAGCGTAAATTGTACCCCATAGGTAGTTTTTCATCTCTTACCCTACACCCACCGCTGCTCCACATGCACTGTATCTCCAGCATCCACTATGTCACTCTGTATGCCTTGACATACCCACAGCTTAGCTCCCACTTACAAATGAGAGCATGTGGTATTTGGTTTTCTGTGTCTCATTTACTTCACTTAGGATAATGGCCTCCAATTCCAACCAAGTTGTTGTAAAAGACATTACATTTCTATGCCTGAGTAGTATTTTATGGTGTGTGTGTGTGTGTGTATAGAATATATATATCACATTTTCTTTATCCACTCATAGATTGATGGGCACTTAGGCTGATTCCATATGTTTGCAATTGTGACTTGTGCTGAGTACAGGTGTTAGTTTCCTTTAATCGTGACTTCTTTTCCTTTGAGTAAATACACAGTAGTGCCATTGCTGGATCAACTGGCAGATCTAATTTGAGTTCTCTGAGGAATCTCCATACTGTTTTCCATAGAGGTTGTATTTTTTTTTTCTCTCCCTCCTCCATCCCTCCTTTCTTCTCTCCCTCCTTCCCTCCTCCCTTTTAAATTAGCCATAGATTGTTTCTATTATTTTTAACTAAAGAACCCTAACTGATACTAAAAAAGTGATAGCAGGCCGGGCGCGGTGGCTCACGCCTATAATCCCGGCACTTTGTGAGGCCGAGGCGGATGGATCACGAGGTCAAGAGATCGAGACCATCCTGGTCAACATGGTGAAACCCCGTCTCTACTAAAAATACAAAAGTTAGCTGGGCACGGTGGCGTGCGCCTGTAGTCCCAGCTACTTGGGAGGCTGAGGCAGAAGAATTGCTTGAACCCAGGAGGCAGAGGTTGCAGTGAGCCAAGATCATGCCATTGCACTCCAGCTTGGGTAACAAGAGCGAAACTCTGTCTCAGGGAAAAAAAAAAAAAAAAAGCGATAGCAAAGCTCCTAGATACAACATAAGTGCTGAGAGAACTGTATTACAAGGGAAAAATTTAAGTGCCATAAGGGAAAAACAACATATTACAAGGGGTATAATAAAAGAGGCAGAACTAGTTCACATTTATTAAAATTAAGAGTTTTCATGGAGGAAATATAAGTATGAATAAAATTTTCAGAAGATTAGGAAAACAGAGCAAACATCAGCAAAGTGATAAAAGGAAGACAAGTTCAACATGTGATCAATGATTAGGGATAATCCTGCTTCACAAATACAGAGACACAGAACACAGAAATAAATCAGAGAAAAGA